CCACATCTCTTGGTTATGTGGCCTATTATTACAGCTGAACAACCGTTCTATATTTGGAGGTCTTATGGAATCTAAACAATTGATCAGATTCTAATACCATGTCCAGCTTCTCCCTACTCTACTCAAACACTTCCAAGAGGCAAACCTTCAAATTCTCCTGAACCATAGCTATTTCTTCCACATTTCTTTTTCTGTACATGGAAAACAAGAGAAAGTGAATGAATTGTTTCTGCTGCAGGAAGGCAATTCAGGCAGGACAAGACTGGGAGCAATTATTGGAGGAAAAGCTTTGGAGGAAAAGGGAAACCCTTTCAAGTGCCACATGAGGTTATTCTGAATTTGTCCTACATCCCATCTCCAAGAATCAGCAGGTAGGCAAATGGGAAGGCAAACCGTGACAAGACAGATGGACCGATGATCTCACCTAAGATAAAGCAGCTTACTATAATGCTAAAGTCCTTGGCAACCTTTCCCACTACTAGCAGACCATAAGATTTCTCAGTATTTACATCATGCTGAAATGGAAATGTTGAACAGAAACATCATCATCATTTTGGACAGGACCTTTTCACAGCATTTACCCTGGCTCATAACGTGCTTTTACTATGCTTTCCAAAACAGTAATGTTTTATACGGTATAGTAATGTTAGTTTTATACATCCTGCAAGGGTGAGTAGTTAAAGAGTTAGAGAAGAGAATATCAAAAACGGTGTTCTTCTTGCCAGGAATGTGCAGGAGATTGTATGTAAAGATTTGAGTAGCAGGCTCCAAAATTCTACTCCAGAAAGTTTGAGGGGAAAAGAGGACAAATCCAGGACACTGGTGCTGGAACCAAGGAGAGATTGGAAAATTCCCTTACGTTGCTTTTACTCTCTGGGCAACTAGCAGAGGATGTGGTTGGGGATCAAGATTTCTGATACCTTGGGAGCAAATTAAGGAATGAAATGGAAGGCTTAAGATTTGCAGATATTTAAGATATTAATTTAGTTCCTTGAGGGCCCCAAACTAAGAAAAATGGGTCACTATTTTTGCAGCTCTGACTTAAAAGGCACAAATGATCTCTAAAAGGTAATGAGTTGGGCATAATGGTTAAATATGGAAACATACTAGTACAGGTAGTCCTCGACTTACAATTCATTTAGTGACTGTTTAAAGTTACGATGACACCGAAACACTTACAACCATTGCAGTGTCCTTTTGGTCACATGATTTACATTTGGGAGTATGACAACTGAGTCACATTTATGACGGATTTAGTGTCCTGAGGTCATATGATCCACTTTTGCGACCTTCTGACAAGCAAAGTCAATGGAGAAACTAGATTCACTTAACCACCATGATACTAATTTAACAACTGCAGTGATTCATTTAACAAATGAGGCAGGGAAAGTTGTAAAATGGGGCAAAATTGACTTAACAAATTTCTCACTTAACATAAATTTTGAGCTCAATTGCGGTCGTAAGTTGAGGACTACCTATTTTGCTGAACTTCCGAGGCAGGAGACAAAACACACATATTATTTGAATGTCAATAATAAATAAAAGAAATGAATCAATACCTTAGACCAGTGATGGCTAACCTTTTTGTCGTCGCATGCCAAAAGTGCCATAATACAATGTACGTGCAAACCCCCGCCCCTGCACATGCGTGTGTGACCCCTGCCGCCCCCTGCGCATCTGCATCTCCCATGCACGTCCTGCCCCCCCCCCATGTGTACGCAGCAGATACCCGACAATCAGCTGGCTGGTGGGTAGTGTGTGCGCATGTGCAGTGGATCTATTCCGGGTGACGGCTCGTGTACCGGCAGAAATGGCTCTGCATGCCACTTCTGGCACGCATGCCACAGGTTCGCCATCACGGCCTTAGACCATAATTACACAAAACAACCTATTGGGATCCTTATATTAAAACATATTTTGTATATGGTCTGAATTCAAAAATCATATGTAATACGACTCTTTATTTGAATAAATCAATTCAGTTGAGATCTCCATATGTGAGTCTGATTGGGATAAATTGCAGGGATGACACAGAAATATGATTTATATTCTTTGCTTTATTCTTATTATTTAATCTGTTTCTTTTATTCCATCTTTACATAGGCTTTTATGAATGTTCTGTTTTATATTCTAAATTTTGATGTGGCCTAGTGGCTAATCAATAATACACACAAGAAAGATACAATACAAGATACAAAATACACACAAGAAAGATACAATACAAGATACAAGATACACACAAGAAAGATACAATAAAAGGTAATGGCTGGGATGAAGGTGTAGGCTTGTGTGTATTATAGTTTTTGGGACTCATACTGATGATTATCAAAATCAGTAAACCCTGTGAAAAAAGAATATTAGAGTATAATTTCACCAGTAGCATGAAAACACTTCTTAATTGAAGTATATATTCCAGAGAGTTTTCTCCTTCTCATTTTGTGGCCACTCCAAAGTACCCTCTCTCCTTATATTGCAACAAGCACACTTTGCATTTTTTTTCCAGATACAAATGGTCAAAATTCCACTTGGAAATTGTTTCCTTTTCTCTCCAATAAACCTCATTATGCTGCAAGCAATATTCATATCCTATTTCAACCACAGAAGAAAAGCAGTATATTTACTCCCCAAAGAGCTGCAGCTGAGAGTTTGGATGCTTGCGATCCACCCAGCACAGAAAACCGGTTATCCCTTTTTTATGCCCAACAAACCAAACCAGTACAGAGAGAAGCTCTTGGCAGTTTTCTTGTGAAGTCACTGCCTTTGTTGTTTTAAGCATTTCTTTTAAAAAGAATGACACCTTCACCAGTGCGGGAAAGTTTTGTAGAGGTGTTGACTGGAATTAAGAGAAATATCAAATCAGGGTATTATCTCCAATAAGTTTTCTTTTCCTCCGCTTTTACTATTATCCCTGCACTATTCTGCTCTCTTCCATTTCTTAACCAACTTCAACAAGATCACAAAGTGGACTGAATCACACATGTCAACATCTTGAGAATCCATTCCCTCAACAAAAGTTGGGACATCTTGGTCTCTCCCAAGAACTGAACCATGATATAAATGAAACTAAAAAGGAATTGATTGTAAATTTGATCATGGCAGCTAGATTTAGTGATGGCTAAATATTGGGGACGAAATTGGGATATTCAAAGAAATGAGTGGCATAATAAAATTTGGAGTATGGCAACAAATGATAAATTAACAGAAATTAAATGATTAAAGCAAACAATTATAACGAAATATGGGATTTTATAAAAACAGGGTTGGTGGAAGGCAAAGGGAATAAAGCTACTCAGGAATATATATTGTTTTGGAGGGGATAAGGGCACAATTGGAATATATTGTATATCTTTTAATTGTTATAGAAAAAGAAATATAAATATAAATGGTCTCTGGGGGTGGGGTGCACTGTAATATTTGTATTTTTCCTTTTTTTCCTTTTTTGGGGGGTATTTAGATGTATATGTACTATGTTTGTATTATTTGTATTCAAAATAAAAAAAAATATTTAAGAACTGAACTGTGCATGTTTAAGTTGCTTTCCAAAAAATTTTTGTATTTGCATTTGCTGCTTTGTAAAGCTGTTCCCCCAAGAGTCCTGAGGTTTTCGCACAGGAAAGAGGTCAAAACAACAACAACAGCAAAATAGTTAGGATTGTTTCTTTCCTTCTCTCGCATTTCCACAACCATTTCAACCCAGAAGGGCTGATCACCAAAAAATGAATCAGGAAAGTAAAAGTGGCTTTGAAATTCCATCCTCACCTCTGTCTTACTTTCATCTTCACCAAAGCTTCCTTAGAGCATAGCAAAACAGTTTTATTTGCAATTTTACAGGCACGTAACCAGCCTTTTTTCCAAATAGAGGCAGGCAGTGCCTTTCTCCTTACCTTGACCTCTGAAACCCTTAGGACAGCCGGGAGACAGAATTATGCATGCACACTTTCACCCCGGGCAGGTCAGCACAGCAGTGCATTTCACATTGTCAAAACAACAAACACCCTTATGAGAGGTTCTTACGGTTTTCCCATGGCAGAGAAGAGCCCATCCCATTTACTACCATTTGGCTTGGACGTGCACCCTGTATTACAACCTTCCCCCCCACATCTTGATGTTCTCCAGATGAGGACTTTGGAAGGCACAGTCCAACCCAGAGGTCTCCAACCTTGGCAACTTTTAAGCCTTCAATTCCCAGAATTCCCCAGCCAACTTTGCTGAAGTTGCCAAGGTTGGAGATCCCTGGACCTGTCTGAAGACACTCCCAGTTTTATGCTTTCCAAAAAAAAAAAAAAAAAACACCCATCCCTTTTAATTTCCAATAACTTAAAAAAATAGGGTGTGTGTGTATGTGTGTGTATATGTGTGTTCCATCCCGTGGGAATTGGAAAGGAGGGAGACAGGGATGAAACTCAACCCCTGGAAACTTTTCCAGTCCACATTTTCCATTGAATTATAATTATACAATGCAAAATACAAAGTAAATCGAAAAGCAGCACAAGTGGGGAGTGGGGGAAGGAAAGAAGAAGTGAGGAAAGATAAGGAAAAAAATTAAGAAAAAGATTTTCGACTCTCTCTGTCACAGTAAAATAAGGCATGGACACCCAATCACAATTTTTTTTTTTTTTTTTGCCCTTTTCACAATAGCGTATTTCTATAAAGATCTACCCGTCGTCTGACTGGTAAAACAAAAAACAAAAAAAAACCTCAAAGTCGAATTTGCATTAAAACCCAGAAACTTTTCAAAGCTTGCAGAACTCTTGCAAACCAAGAAAACAGCGCAAGGGACTTCAAAGCCCATTGAAAAGTCCCAAGAACTGGGAGCAGCGGTGTTAACTATTCGGGTACATCCCTACTGCACGTGCGCGTACACACACACACACACACACACACACGACCCGCAAGTGTTGCACACAAAGGCCTCTTCCTCTCCCCCCTCCCAGCGCCCCTCTGCCATCCTTCACCCACCCGGCGAAAGACATACATTACAAGCCGCAGACGTCACTTACCAGCCGGGAGACGACGACCCCTGTGCCGGGAACACGCGTGTTGGTGGGAATGCTCCCCGCCAGTCCCCGCGACGAGGTTAGCTGGAAGCCGCGCACGAGTGCTGGGAGCGGAGGGGCAGCGGGGGCGGCGGCAACATCTCCTGGCGGCGGCTCCGACGCCCCCCTCGCCCGGCTTGCAAGAAACAAGAACCGCTTCTTCTCCCCCCACCACCACCACCCCACCCTCAGCCCAGCCTCCTCGTTCTCGCCTCCCCGCCTCCCTTCCTTGCAAAGCTGGCCGGGGCTCCTTAAGAAACAAGCAAGCAGGCGGGGAGGGTCCGAATGAGAAGCCTCCCCCCCCCTGCTTTCCTTCGCCCTCCCTGCAGCCGGGCTCCTCTTGAGCTCTCCGCCTGGGCTGGCTGCAAGCGCGCCTTCTTGGAGGGTTGGGAGCCGGCTCCGCCGCCGCCGCCGCCGCCACTCGCTCGCGCCTCCCTGGCAGCGGGGAAGCTGCTGACACAGGCTCGCCCGGCAGCCCTTCTCTACCCGCCCGCTTGGCCCGCCCCGCGCTGGGGCCCTGGCGAGCCGAGTTGCTCTTGGGTTACTAAGCCAACCGCAAGGCCTTCCCTGTTGGCTCCTGCCGCGCCCAGCCCCTCGGCCTCCTCAGTTTACGCGCCAAGCTTAGCCTCGACCGGCTTCGACTTCAACGTTGGTGTATATAGATATTTTGAGAAGGGGTTTGAGCCGGGGGTGGGTGTATTAAGCCCATCCCCGCAATCAGAAAAGGTCCAGACGAAGGGCATCCGTAACTCTGGGGCATATAGTCCCCCAAAAAATTAAGCAGGAAAGGAGGGGAAATATATACATATATATATCTCAGGCCGGGAAGGGGTGGAAAACAACCATCTGCATTCCGTTCCAGGACAAAGTTCTTTAAAAGTTTACAAAATGTAGGAGATTTAGTTCTAAGGAAACCTGCAGAAGATTGTGCTCCTTTTTTTCCCTATGGGGTTACAGGGAGAAGAAAAGGGTCTCTCTCTCTCTCTCTCCCTCCCTCTCCTTTCTTTTCCTTCCTTTCTTCCATCCATTCCTTCCCACCCTTCCTTCCTTTCTCTCTGTCTCTTTTAATTCCTTCCTTCCTCTTCTTCCATCCATTCCTTCCATCCATTCCTCTCTCTCTCTCTCTCTCACACACACACACTTTCTTTCTTTCTTTCTTTCTTTCTTTCTTTCTTTCTTTCTTTCTTTCTTTCTTTCTTTCTTTCTTTCTTAACTTTACATAAACAAGGTCATTTTTATATCCACCTTTCTTGATGGCTGTTTTTATTGCTTTCCACTTATAATATTCCATAGAGCAAGTTTCACAATCTCGGGTTATTTTATTTTGCTTACATTAGGCTAAGAAAATGGAGTGACTTTTTTTAATCCCATGTTTATTATTCTAATAAATAACTTATGAGAGTAAACCCACAGAACACTCCTCTTATTTTCTCCACAACAAGCCAACATCCCTGCAAGGTGGGTTGAGCTGAGAGAGAGTGACTGGCCCAAAGTCACCCAGATGATTTCCATGTCTTAACGGTCTCCTTAATCTCTATAACAAACTGGTATATGTGTCCATGAGTTGATTGAAAGTTGGGGGTGGGGTTGTTTTGTTTTCTTTTGTTGTAAATTTTAAAATTAAAAATAGCAAGCATTTAGCAGGAAAGGGTCTGGTCTTGAAAAGATTGGACCAAATTTAAATTACATAGTCTGGTTCATATATTACATGATAACATAACTTTGTTTTTAGCATGTCATTCTCAAAATGATTTAGCATGTTGCACTGAGAAAAACACTGGTTTGTTCAATAAAGTTACGATAACTTGTTGCTTGTCACTATTCTTGTATGCATATTGAGAGCTTACACACCTGAAACAAATTCCTTGTGTTTCTAATCCCACTTGGCCAATAAAGAATTCTATTCTATTCTATTCTATTTTATTCTATTCTATTCTAAACTGTCGTTTTAACATTCTGGTCTACTGTACATATGAATGCAACTAGTGAACCAGTTCACAGACTATGCTAAACTATGATTTATTTAAACATGGTTTATTGACTAATTCACAACCCTCAAATTCTTTTGAGTTTAGTGGAGTTTTCTGTTCTTTAATGCTTACAGTCCTTTAAAATATGCTGTAACTGACCAAATGGTCATTCAAGGAGCACTGCCATTAGCTGATAAGATTACAATATTTGCTAAATTCTTACTAGCTGCTAGATACTTCCCTAAATATTGGTAAGAGCACTATTGCCAGTTTTAATTCTTTTTCAGTGGAACACCTCAGTATGCAAAATAATTCTTCCATTGACTATGGTTCCTTAACAAACATTTGCTTTCATCCTCATCTGCATAGAAAGGAGAGCACTGTTCTAGATTCCTAGAAACTAGATTCTAAATCCATATCAAGCATCAAAAATCATGGTCTCTTCTGTGTTTGCAGCTACAAAGTTCAGTCTTGCCAGTTTATGGTGGGTGTCTCGTGTCTGTGTTTATATCAGTGGTGCGATTCAATTTTTTTTTTTACTATCGGTTCTGTGGGCGTGGCTTGGTGGGTGTGGCAGGGGAAGAATACTGTAAAATCTCCAGTCAGAGATGGTATTTGCCGGTTCTCCGAACTACTGAAAATTTCTGCTACCAGTTCTCCATAACTGGTCAGAACCTGCTGAATACCACTCCTGGTTTATATCCAGATCATTTTAAAATTGTGGTCTGGATCAAGGAACGGATTTGCCATCAGTAGGAAAATCACTTAGGATTGAGATTCTTAAGTGTCCTTGTTTGGTGTCCTGACAAAAGTCACTATTAGGAATTTACTGAAATGTCAAAGAAAAGTGAATCCTGTTTCAGAATTCAGGAATGCAGAAAACATGGTGTAAAATAAACAACCACATCTAGAAATGGAACTTGATGAAGGCAAAAGGGAAAAATTGAGATGCTAAGTCATGTTGCTAAGGCATTGTTTAATCAAGCTGGATTGTATTTGAATTGGTTTATACTCTATGCTATTAATAAACCACAATTTCTGGATTTGTACAACCTAATAGCTGGTACCCGAGCAAACTACACTAGTATGATTCAAATGATGTGTGCAAGCCATCAGAGGAAACTTATGTTTGGCAAGCCAACTGTTCTTTCCCTTGTACAAAAGTTGCAATTGTTTATGCTGTTGCAAACTATTTGGAGCATGAATTGCCTTGGAATCTAATCTCAAGACTAACCCCCCTTTATTTTGCAAATAATAATAATAACCTTTATTGTCATTATACATATATACAATGGAATTGATTTTGCTCTTGCTGGTGCTATCCATAAGAAAAATACACAACATAAATAATACAGAAAATGGTCCTTATAGGGAGAAACCAGTCATATGTTTCCATGTATGCATGGAGTGATTGTAGTTGTATTTAGGAATCTGACAGCCCATGAATAAAAGCTGTTTTTAAACCTACTTGGCTGGCTGGCTATACTTCTGTGTCTTCTGCCTGATGGTAAAAGTGAGAAAAGATACTGACCAGGAGGTGAATCGTCCCTAAGTATCAAATGCAGATATTTTCAATAAAATATTTTATGATATATGTGTGTGCGTACATTGAACATTTAAGAAGTTCTGCAGATAATTCTCAAATTTATTATCATGCATTAAACTGAAGTCTGCTAAGGAAGCAGTACTCTTAGTAACAGGTTGTCTCAAACCTACACCAGTGGGGAAAATACATCGTCTCGCTGGCATTTCCCCACCTAAGAGGAGGAGAGAAGTAGCAGCAGATGCCAAGAGAACTAAACTAGAGAATGATCTTCAACATACTCTGAATGAACATATGCCCCAAGCCCACCAGCTCAGATCTAGGAGCAGCTATATGGCAAAAACAAATATTCTTGAGGGCACACAAGAACTAAATCAAATTAGAAGATGGAGGAAGGAGACCGTTGAGCAAGGAATAATATTAAAGGAGGATATGGCTGAAAGATCCGATCTCCTTTACATTATCTGGTGGATCCTGGATAGGTTGAGAGTTGGAGGACCTAAATTTAAAACCAACATGCTCAAGTGAGACTCTTGGCACATAACAACACGCTGTATGAACGTGGAAAGATACAGATCCTGGCCCATCTGCTGATATGTTGGCTACTACCAGAAACGTATCTATAATGACTTATTTTTGGCCAAAGACAAAGCCAGGAAGATGGCTTCATTCTAGCAGTTTGAAGAAGAATCTCTTGGACTGAAGTTGCTCCTTAGGAAAATCTTTTCATTCATTGTTCTTAAGATTAAAAGCCTCCATCTTGCACATTTAGCTGGACCATCATTCTTGCAAGTTTTGTGGCAATTCTTGCTCTGAAAATTACCTTTCTTATCCTGCTCAAATGAATATGGAAATAGGCTAAAACTCACACAGGATCCTGTGATTCTGTTTTTACCGTGTGTGTGTGTGTGTGTGTGTGTGGAATCAGGATTTGAGTCTTGACAGATAGGCCTCTGGTCTTTTTCAGTGTCTAAAAAACTGTCAGTGTTTGAAAATCAGTTTGTCACCCACCTTATTTCTAAGGAAAATAAAACAAACAGAATAGACTTTGTTATGTAACAAGAAGACCTGTTCATAAACTGTACAGAATTAACATAGATCAGGGAGACAATGATATTCCCATTGTGCTGCCTAACCTCTTGAGTGACAAACTTGGTTTTGACCCTGTTGGCTTTCAGAAAAGCAATAAAAACCTGGCCTTTAGGTGTTGGGCCCAGGATGAGTTCTGTCTAGAGGGAAGTATGAATCTTGGTCATAGATATATCAGTTAATGCAGTGGTTCTCAACCTGTGGTCCATAGACCCCGGGGTGTGTGTGATATCATCACGGGGGTCACAAAGGCTTGAAGAAAAGTTATGATTCAAATCTTGAGTTAAGACTTGGGGGTCCTTGGCCACAAAAGATATTTAAATGGGTTCCAAGGTGAAGAAAAAGTTGAGAACCATTGAATTAATGAATTCAATGAAATTTCTTATCTTGCTCTACTTTTGATTTACTGTACACTGACTAGAGTCGCAGTTCACACTGGACAGCCATGTGGTACATATAATAATGGAATTGGAAAGGACCTGGGAGCTCTGCTAATCCAACCCACTGCTTAAACAGGAGACCCGTGATGGCGAACCTATGCCACGC